ACGAGGTAAATGTGCCGAACAAGCGGCGAAGAAATGAAAATCAATGATTCGCAATGAAGAAAAAAGAGCGAATCGTTACTCGCTTCGGGGCGTTCGGAGAATTTGACTTCGTTAAGTTGGGAAAAACTCGTTTCGAGGCGGACCGATTGGCAGACATTCGGACGAGGGTAGACATGTCGCACTATGGGTTCGGTTTGACGAGGAGTCGCGCCGGCAGTGCGCGGATGGTGCGTAATTCGATTTCGTTAGTTTAGTTACATCGGCGGCTGGTAACCCGAAGAGTGTGTTGGGGTTGCCGTGATTAGATTTACATGTGGGTAGTGATGGGGTACCTAAGCCTTTATACGTCCCTCGCACTTCTATCCGCAAATATTAACCGAATTCAACTCCCACCCCTGCTTCCTCTCGCCTTTTTCAATGGGATATTTTCATTCAAAAATGTCATCCATTTCATGAAAATCGTTAATTCATAGGTACGAACGACGTTATTTAAATGTCTAAAAGTGAACGTCGAATCCTTCTGGTTGGTAACAATACAGATAGTTAAATGTTTCATTCTGGAGTATTTATTTTTTAAAAGCGTCTCTTTTATACCTCATTTTTACTTAACAGCGATGATTTCATTTTTATATCTTATGGTACTTGCACAACTTGTTATACGAATCGGATTGTTAAAGTGTTGTGAAATGTACTACATTGATCGACTGGTACCACGTGCGAGAATAAAAGCACGATTTAGAGTTTTATTGTTAGAGTAATGGTTGTTTATAATAATAAAAAATGTAGTACTACTTTGATCGACTGGTACCACGTACGAGAATAAAAGCAGGATTTAGATCAGAATACAAAGACCGCTTTGGATTTTGGAGCATCCGTTCGGGGCATAATTTTTATATTCTTATTACATACTCTTTAATTATTCAATGGCCTCTAAACGTACAATAAGTAACATAATAGATGAGCTAAATTATAACAGATTAAAATTCGTTTCCTCATTACTTATCTTATTAACATAAACATGTATTTTATTGCCGTTTTTATAGTCTGTTGTACATTGTTTAGTTCATTATATTGTTAGAGTAATGGTTGTATATAATAATAAAAAATGTAGTACTACTTTGATCGACTGGTACCACGTATGAGAATAAAAGCAGGATTTATATCAGAATACAAAGACCGCTTTGGATTTTGGAGCATCCGTTCGGGACACTTTTGTTTCCGAGCCACTGACTTTGGACGTCCCCGATTTTGGTGAAATGAACCGCGGATAAAGGAAGCGACCGATCTTATCGCTCGATTATTGGCGACAATACTCTATTACTATGTATCTGCGAATCTTTTGCCGGACGCTTGGTCACTCGGTCATATATATACGGGATATCTCCGAGGACCATCTATTACTGGCCTGTTTACGCCTCTTTCCTAAGAATCTGTGATTCTGCTTTCCAGAATTCATTCATCTCCCCGGCATGATGCCTTTCTGAATCCTCCCTTGTGCACTGACGTAGAAAAAGCAATTTTAAATTAGAATTACAAAAAAAAAAAAGTGAAAAAAATTGACAGCCCTTCTTAAAACGTTTTCTTAATACACAAATTCACTGAACCATTTCTTATCATTTCCCAGACACGCGCAAGATTTCTTCGAGCGGTGTCAAGATCCTTGATGTTTATAAAAGAAAACTTTCTTAAGTTTTATGACTGGTCATTCGATTATTTACAGGATGATGTGGTAGATCTGACATTTCTTTCTCCTCCATTCTTTATTCGCAACGAGCGCGCTTACCCGCCATTTTGAAGGCGGCGCAAATGAGATTTGTTTTTTAGGGTATTATAACACCTTAGAGATATGAAGAAAGTAAAGTTCCGAGAGTTTCACGATTGGTCACTTGGCTATTTACAGAATGATGTGGTAGATCTAGGGTTTCTTCTAGATCCATTCAGTCGGTTGCCGAATCGATTACGTGATTGGACTTTAGTTTGGTATCGGGTAACCGAGAAGCCATTGGCCGGACAATATTTTCAAAAAAGTAGACATTAACGATAACTCGGTACTCTTAATTGTATTGTTTCCGAGGCCCTAATTGACTGCAGAGTGACCCCCTGCGCCATCCGTGATTTCCGTGTCAACTAAACTTTCACCCCGAGACCTCATATTACCATTGTTTAAGCATAGCTGCGCATAAGACACTTTTTTCCCCCTTTTTCCCGTTCAAATGCGAGTTTATCGATTATCAGAGTGTTCTAGATTATCGTGCAATTATCCTGACCCTTTCGTTTCTCATATCAGAGCCTTAATTATATATCGATTGAAATATGAGAGCTCGACGCCATTTTGGTTCTGGTCTGGGCTAAGTTAAAAGTTCTTTTCGAAAAATCCTAATCTTGAAAACGTCAGGATAATTCCTAGGGGCTCACGAGTCATGTGTCAAAGTATCAGACGGTTCGATCAATACCATTAAAAAAAAGTGTCTTATTTGAATCAACCGATTTGAGGGGTTTCACACCACCTTAAACGTGCAGTTGACTTTGTGGGGCACTAAGCTCGGAACACAAGGTACACGTCTTCCAATACACTCTTCCATACAACTCTGGATAACTCATAGGAAATACGTGAACGCGTCAATGGAATGTCACCGAAGTCACATCACGCTTGACTTCCTGTTGGTCCCATCCCCTAAGAACATTCGGTGAAGCGAAATATGCCAGTTACGTACCTACGAACGTCCTGCCCACCCGCTTCACATCAGGAACAACTCTCTCCCACCCGAGCTCTCTTCCCCGGAGTTAGAAGCTGATCTGTCAAAAAGCATCAGAGACAGGCGCGCCTCGAAAAACCCCACGGCAAACAGAGCCAATCGTCCATGAGATGAACATGCGTCAAAAGCACCGATAGTTGCAGCGGTTCCGTAACCGCAATGGAAACAAAAACGGAAACGTACTCCCGTATACGTATTTCCAGCGCTAGAAGTTCCTATCATGGTAATCACTTCTTGACGAACGAACTGAAGTTTGTTAATAATTCGAAATTCACAAACAAGTCAAAAGCACCGATAGTTGCAGCGGTTCCGTAACCGCAATGGAAACAAAAACGGAAACGTACTCCCGTATACGTATTTCCAGCTCTAGAAGTTCCTATCACTGTAAGTACTTCTTCATGAACGAGCTGAAGAAGTTTGTTAATAATTTGAAATTCACAAGCAAGTCAAAAGCACCGATAGTTGCAGCGGTTCCGTAACCGCAATGGAAACAAAAACGGAAACGTGCTCTCGTATACGTATTTCCAGCGCTAGAAGTTCCTATCATGGTAATCACTTCTTGACGAACAAACTGAAGAAGTTTGTTAATAATTCGAAATTCATAAGTAATTCAAAAGCACCGATAGTTGCAGTAGTTCCGTAACCGCAATGGAAACAAAAACGGAAACGTACTCCCGTATACGTATTTCCAGCGCTAGAAGTTCCTATCATGGTAATCACTTCTTGACGAACGAACTGAAGTTTGTTAATAATTCGAAATTCACAAACAAGTCAAAAGCACCGATAGTTGCAGCGGTTCCGTAACCGCAAACCGTTATCATTACGAGTGTCGTTTCTTTCCTGAAACACCGGCCACTTCTCATGCAACTTGCTATCAGGTATATATTTATGCATAACAGGTGTTTTACATAAAGTCTCTTGTAAGAACCCGTGAAGCTGATCCTCCGATCAATTATTCACAATTTTATAGAATTCCGAATTACGAACAAACTTATTTAGGCTCCCGTTCGTCAAGGAGTAATTACGACGGTAGGAATTTCCAGCGCTGCAAAAACGTGTACGGGAGCACGTTTCCGTTTTCGTTTCCATCGCGGTTACGGAACCGCTGCAACTATCGGTGCTTTCGAAAACGAAACTATTTTCTAAAAAGTGTTTCGTTTTCAAAATACTAGACCGTTTGCAGACTTTTATAACACCCTGTGTAAAAGAAAAAAAATAGTTTACTAATGTTTATTTTTTCTTCAACGCTGCAACTATCGGTGCTCTCGAAAGCGAAACTATTTTCTAAAAAGTGTTTCGTTTTCAAAATACTAGACCGTTTGCAGACTTTTATAACACCCTGTGTAAATGAAAAAAATAGTTTACTAATGTTTAGTTTCTCTTCAACGCTCAGCGCGTGACTGAGGAACAAGACCAAAGATTACTCGTTCCCTCGTTTGGGATTCTTCAATTGAACCCGCGGGTGTTACGGGCGGGATAAAGTGGAGCTTTTCTTTCCCCTTTCGGCATAGTTAGGCCAGTCGCCCCTTCCCAATCACGCGAATCCTTCCTGGAGGTCCTTCGATCATCACGAGCCCCGACCCAGCGTTCGGATCGACGACTAAGGAGGGTCTATCGTTTTCTCTTTTCCCGTAATTAAGTTACCGACCTACGCATTCCCGGCTTTTCCCCTCTTTTCTTCTACCATCATAATAAAAGCAAAGTCGACGCGGGATTGACGGATCTGCGACGCCCGATCGCTTCCTTTTTACGGAAAACGTCTCTTCTCGTGTCCCGCCAAATTTCATTTGTCTCGACTGAGTGTCTCTTGATGGCAACTGTCCTGTTTAACCGTTTAAGTGCGTACCTTTGATACCATTACTGCAATATCGCCAGCGTCTACTGGCTAGCGTTACCCTGATAATTTATATTTAAAGCTCACGTAACTATCTCCTTATCAGTCTACTATAAAATTATCTAAAACATGTTTTAATGACACAACAAAATGATATAAAACATGTTTTAAATCAACACAACAAAATTAAGGGAAATATTTTATACATAAGTAAGAACCCCCCTTATAAAGCTGGCCATTTGCGTGGATGTATTTCTTGTACCTCCTTTTTGCCTTAGGAAGACACGCGTTAACAATGTCAGGTCAGTCTCTCTTTTGTCAACGTCCTCTGTTTTCGTGAGGTTTTGGGCCTGCACTAGATCTTCCCCGTGCAAAAAAGAGGCTAAGAGGAAGGAAAGGTTCCCTCGTACCTTTGACGGATTTGTTGGGCGGCGGACCGTCGCGGTTCCAGGGAGGATCCCCGTGTCCCGAGAAGTCCCGGAGTTTGAGGTAGGAGATCGTTAGCCTTATGATGGAGGCTTTGTCCAGCTGGGTAGTTATGGCTTCGGGCAGGGGCAGCATTTTGGCCAGCTCGTAGAACTCGAAGTTCTCCTTGCCCCGCCGCGATCTCGCTGCGTCCCTGCTTTTCTCTTTCCGTAGCTCGAGGATACTGCAAGAACAAAGAGACGGTACGTTAGATAAGTCGGATAGATTAGGGATGTAGCTCTCGTGCGACGCGACCGAGGCTAAACGCTCGCCCGGGAAAGTCGAGGCCACGTCGACCTCCAGAAAATCGTTGAGCCAAAATGTGATTTTTTACCTTATTCACTAGTTTGATCGATTAGACGGTGTCAATGGTACATCGATTCTGTTTAGACAGGCGCAAAGATCACTTTCTCGTGAATTATTATAATGACTTTTGATAAGGGAGCTATGTCGATTTTGAGGGGAATAAATAAAAGATCGATCAAAAGTTAACCCATTCACTGCCAACTGCGAGATATCTTGTAGTAAGCGTATATACCAAGCTGACTCTAAAATTGCCTGGCAATAAATGGGTTAACCCTTTGAACAGGGAGCCATTTCGACGTATGGGCGAAATTCGTCTGACCGTGCAGGCAATATTGGACCAAACGTCGGGTGCCTTTAGGCGCTCTTAGTAGGCCAAGGGTTAATCTACTCAGAGTGATTTCGAAAAAATGTATGACCACCCGCGTTTATAAAACTTCATTTTTATTTTCTTTCAAGTTCACCCTTCTTGGTTAAGAAAAAGAAAAAGGAGAAAAGGTTTGGATTTTTGTACAATTGATTTTAGAATCTCTTGCGACTCAATTATCATACTCTAACATTTCGAGCATTTTCTCCCATCGATTAACAAACATAACCAGGAATAGGAGTACTTTCCCGGTAAAGCAATTTTTTTAATTGCCCACCACCCAATTCGTTATGATAGCGACGTTTCCTACATATTCTAGGCTACGAAGATCCTCCTTTGCTTACGTGTAACGTGTACGGTAAGTCTGACATTTTCTAAATTCGACGCAACGATTTCACGCGTGGAAACCGTCGGGCCAGGGTGGTTGAAATTGTAAAATATTAGGAATGCGCATCGGGTACGTACCCGCTGTAACGTACATACGGGAACGCAAGGCGTGGTCTCCCTCGCGATTACGAACAATTTACATTCCCCGTAGTTCGCCATCGCGATGTGAATGGTTGACCAAAATGAATACGGCGCACGTACGAAGCGCGAAGAATACGGCCCGTTATACCGCGGTACGTATGGAGTACGTTGACAAATCCATCGATGGTACCCCGGCGCGTAATGGTGCTAATTCCGCGAAAGGTAAGAGTACGTGCTACTTTTAGGTAACGACATGTTGCCACCGACTTCGTCGACTGCCGTCCGAATGTCGTTGTTTAACTTTTTACGACGGTTGACGCGATTAACGAAATAATTGACTCGTTGCAGGGAGGGATGGGTTTGTTTTCAAAGAACGGAGGCTTACAAACAGAATTACATACATTGCATCTACATCAGAGAGATAAGTCCAGCTTTTGTCAATAATGTAATGATTTTTTTTTCTTATTCTCCGCTTTTGATTTTGTATTACGGTAAAAGCCGATTAATAGTTTCTAGAAGTGGAACTACTGTCAATTTCTACGGTACTGACGTGGAGAATGGATTTCTCGTTACGGATCATTTGAGAATTATTCACTGTATATTTATTTACTGCCGTCCGAATGCCGTTGTATAACTTTTTACGACTAAACAATGCAGAAAAATCGTCCACTCTCGATGGCCTCGTTAAAGTTGACTTTACTCATTCAAGAGGTTGAAAAAACAACATTCATTGTCCAATTTGACACGCCAGGCTGAACATCGCAGATAATGACTAGGTCTGAGTTTCTTAATAATTAGCGGCGTTTACATAGAAACGGAGCACGATCAGGAGAGCATGTCCCCGGAATGATAGTCTTAAAGACCAGTCATATCCAACGATCAAGAGCAAGAAATCAATTTGTCGCGTTCAAAGGTACTAAATATATATACATATAAAAATGACGAATGTTCAATTTACGCATTCTCTCCACATCCACCCCCGCTCCTCTTTCCACGTCCTAACCTGCAAATTATTATTACCCGTTAAATCGTACGGAATCTTCCTCTCATCCATCAAAGGCGATAATTAACATTGCGAGGCGCTACCGTACGGCTCCTCCATTTCCGATTCAGAAGCAACGAGCCATCCGGACGGCAGGTGGGTCAGAAATAACGGCGCGATAACGAGGACGGGTATCGATGATAACGGGTCCGCGCATTAGCAGCGTCAATTGCGCGCAAGTGCGCGTGGATGGGCGTACCCGCAAGTGGGCGTTGTACGCAACCGCATAAACAGCATGCGGCACCCGGTGCAGCTATCGAGCCCCGTGTTTACCGAGCGCGCATGCAGATGCAACGCGGAACATCGGCACGGCGTCTACGCGGCCACGCCCCCGTACTATCCGCCCTCTGGCGGCGGGTCTTGCAACTAAACGCAGGCCAATTAACTGTTGACTCGCATTAATCAAAAGTCGCGGCGGAGCCGGGGGTCGTTAGCCTTCCGTTGAGGGAGACCCAACGAACTTACCCACCCCTGAGAGTCGACCGACCCCCACGAAAGGTTTGTTCGTTTTGCCTCCACTTTCTGCACATTTACGAAAAGTGTACACTTTGGCGTTCGTATTGACGAAAGTGACGCACACGTCGCTGGTCGTTTTGCGAGGGCATCTACCCCGAGTGTACACTTTCTTTACCCTTTCTACCATCGATCCCGTGCGAGGGCAAGATGTTATAAAAGGGTAGGCCGGAAATTCGGCGGCAAATTTCAAAATTGAAAAGACCAACAAACAGGAAGATACAAAGCTTGTCCCAAGATCTCAACGTGATATAAATAGAAATAAGGATTAATACATTTTCTTCGTGTGTAGGACGATTTAGCAGCGCGATCTAGTGACTGGGTTACGAATTATCACGCTATCCGAAATTAAGGCTCTATCCGATATTATGCCATAATTTGGATTGCAGTACTGATGATTCTTACAAAATCTATTTCACTGAAGCTAAGTAATTTCTTCAGGAAGAAACATTTAAATTGTCGGAAATTTTAATTTCGCCTAGAAAGTTAACTCGCAATGTGTAGAGTAGTGCATTTTACGGCAAAAACTATAATTATGAAATTAAACCAGAAATGCCCCAGGTAATTGGTTAGCTAGAAAGATATGTTTTTGTTTCTGCGGTGTTGAGAAAGATAATGTTTATTTGACAATTGAGATGTTAAAGGGGATACAAAAGTTTGAAGGCGCGTGGATATTAGTTACATGTCGGATGTTTGCGGTGATTGATTTTTTGATGAGCAAGAGAACGAAAGTGGAGTTATGGAGAAATTGGGGAAGTGGTTGCTGAATTACGTCGCGGATTCAAGAAGATCGAGATTGGTTGGGCGGTTTAAAAGTTGATTTTGGATGTGAGGCGTAATCCAGGACGCAGTGGGTATCCATTTTGGTAGCAGGCCACTGGTGACGGGTTTTGAGAAGTCTTATGAAAGTAATCCGGAAAAAGCCGTGCCGTGACTTTAGAAACTCCTTCCTATCCCCGGGGACTTTTAAGAAGAGCCTGGTGTCGTAGTATTTCTGGAAGTACGATTCCGATCTAGGACCTCTGTGGCCTCTGATGTACGATAGAGCGAGATGACGTTTTCGGGTCATCCCAGCGGCGACGTAGTGCGCGGTTGATTGATTTAGTATCTCGAGCAAAAATGTGTACCAAAATAAATAACAATGGTACACGAAACAAGAGCATTCAAAGTAGACTCATTTAAAAAAGTTACACATTTGTTAGATTTGAATATATTTAACTTGTTTTATTCGTGTCTTCAGAAAACCACATACCCGGTATCTGGAACTTTTTAAAAAATGAATGTTGACAAAATTAACAATGTAGATGTATGTCAACCGAAATACATATTTGCAGCACCAGGATACGCAATCGCATGGTTACGATTAAGGGATAGTTCTTAATGCGGAAAAACGAGGTAGTACCATTAAACGCTCCGCTTGAGCCGAAGGGGTTAAAAACAAGATGGGTTTTTATTGAGCCACCATTACGCCTAACGACTGTAAAACGGCGATGTTCTCGAGCCATCTTTCGACGTGCCCCTTCGTCGGGGATGGCCATAGAAACTCTGGAGTACCATGGTTAACCCATTATGGGAATCTCCCCACGGAAAAGATGCCAGTCGTAAAGACTACGACAGAAAGGAGGAGAAAAGACCCCTCTTTCTCCTTAACTTTCTCCCTGTACATTCGACATGTACCGGACGTGTCTTGCAAGTACGTTTAAATAAATATTAAACTCGCGACATTCGATATGGTGGCACTGCATCGTCAAATGCATTTTCGCAGTACTTAAAAAATTGACCACCGTGTGCATAACACCGAGTTTAAGGGTATGTGAAAGTGGCATCCGAAAGCTCAATCGTTCATAAAACTTTTCTACGAACTGGGTGTCTCAAATCGTCTCATACTTTAAAACGTGAATATGGAGAACCTAAAGTAGATCCTGAAACTCGCGAAATTTCATTTTTTATAAACTATTTTTAAAATATCTATAAACAAATCTGAAAAGAATTGAAATTTCATGAGTTTCAGGACCTTTCTTATCGTCTCCCTATTTACATTGTAACGTTTCAAACTATTCGGTAAACCGAGTTGGGAGAAAAATATTATAAACGAAACCTCTTCGACGCCACTTTCACATCACCTTAAGTAAGGAAATTTTGTGATATAAACTCTATTTGCATAATTTCTTCCTATTGCAAATCAGTGGAATACTCCCGTTTCCTGGATTTCGGTTGTTTAACGGTTAAGAGAAATTGTGGTGAATCGTTGTCGTGCTTTTCACGACATTTTTGTAGAAGTACTCGAACGATATCAGAATTTACGAATGCCAACCCTCGGAGCAGAGCAATATTTTCGTCATTGAAGAGGGGCGCAACTGGGTACTACACCCCTAACTCGAGAGACCCCGTACCCCTAACGTCGTCTCCTGTTCCTGCGGCAGTCCCTGGGGACCAATGTTCCG